CCGTGTGGGAAAAACCCTCTTCCTTCCACCCTGTATAAACCTCTGACATCCAGGACTGTGTGGAAAATACCTCTCCTCCAGGAGAGCGTATCAGAAACAGCTCTTAGAAGAGCTAAGTGATTAAAGCTCAAGGGAATATGCAGAGCATAGCAATCCCCAGTGTGATTATAGCAGTTCCCTCCAATAACAAGACAAGGCTACGTATTGAGGGTCAAGAAGATCTGTTTAATGAGTACCAAAGGACTTTCTTTTATGCAGGTTTTCAGGCCAGAGGCACACCCCCTGGACCTGGTTGTAAAATGTGACAAAAGGGACACAAACCAATGGGAACACTAATTAACAAAATAACATTCCCACATACACAGTAAAATCCCTCCCCTCTATCCTGGAGATAATTGGCTTAAGGCACTGCAGTAAACTCAATTATCTCCAGGTATAGTAACACTAACACTAACAGTAAAATACATAATTCCCATTATATCACACAGAACCCCCACATTTGACCTATCCCCAGATAGCTTGGATCTGAGTGCCCAATATAGGTGAACAGCGTTCGGATACCACGAACAGAGTAAATTTGCCATGGGGTTAAAGTTTTGCAAGGGCTTATGAGAGATTGAGGAGGAACAAAGCAGCCAGTTTAAACTGGTCTGGCAGTGTCCCTGGGACAATGCCCTTCTGGAGAACAATGGGACAGGTATTAAAAGGGGCAGGGGAAGAGGCACATTCTCCCATGGAATCAAAGGGGCAGAAACAGTCTTTTAAAAGTCCCAATATGCCCACATAACGTTTTTAAAGGGCAAACTCTCCCAGGGGCCATAGTCACAAGGCAAGCAATTAGTCCTCTCCAGGCACAAGTGTATATGGTATGTGCAGAGGATAAAGTTGATCGTGTAGTTCAATCTTCTGTAGTTAAATGTAGAGCTTCTGGAAGCCACTGATCGGGTACGCTGGGCCCCCTCTTCACAATATAGGCTACTGGTGGCCCACAGGAGCAGTTGTGGAGTTAACGTAGAGCTCTAGTGCAAGGATTGTTTTGGGCCCCCTCTACCACAAGAGTGGTCAAAATGTAGATTTGCCCAACTTTGCAGGGTTGTATTTAGTACTGAGCATTTTGCGTGTTTGAATGTAAGCATATTTTTGTATGCAGTATGTGTGTGAGAATGTTAATGTTTGAATGCTGGCGTGCATTTGTGTGTAGTGTATACACTGCCACACACACACACACACAGGGATACACATGCATATACAATGACATACATGCAAATACACAAACACACAGAGACACAGTTACACACACACTGACACAGTTACACATACATACATTGAGATGCACACTAACACATAGATACAAACATACACATACATAGATGACAAATACACACCTACACTCAGGTGTGCACTGACACACACAGATCCGCACACTGACAGATATACACAGACACAGATACACACACTGACAAATAAACACACATTCACTCAGGTACACACATGCTGGTCATTCTTCTAGCCACCCTCCTGTTTCTTACCTTTTGCGTGCAATCTGGATTCTGATCGGATGTTAGCTAGGAGGAAATTACCAGAGCTCACTTCCTCCCAGCACTGGCTGCCTTTATTCGAGTGGCCCAATTGCGCTATTAAAGATAATCGCTATATATGTGCACATTTTGAAGGGGGGGACCGGGCGTCTAGAACTACCAGACCCATTACAACCGTCATGGTTGTCACCCCCTGATGGTGCTCCTGGTTTTGCTCATTGGAGCTAAACTCAAGAGGCTGGCAATTGATCAGAGCACCTACCCTGAAAAGAGGCAACGTTGAGCTGCATTGGTAAATCTGTGGTTCTACTTAGAGAAACTTACAGTAAGAGACAGTGGGAGCTCTACAGTGAAATTAAAATGACTTCGGAAAAATAGAAATTGTACAGAAAAGAAATTTACCTTTATTTCATAGCTTATAGAAAAAAAAAAAAATACCAAAAATTGTTGGCACAAAGTAACCGACGTATATGTCTTATTATTATTGGTATTTATATAGCGCCAACTAATTCCGCAGCGCTTTACAATATTATGAAATGGGGTAAATTTACAATAATTGAGACAATTACACAGTGACACAGGATCAATAGGTAAATGAGGGCCCTGCTCAAACAAGCTTACAGTCTAAAGTAGGTGAGGTACAAATACACAAAAGGGTAGCAAGGGTGGCAGCCACCAAACAAGGTGGAAAAGTAGCGGAACTGGAGGTGAGAGAGTGGAGTGTAGCTCTTTAGGAGGACAGGGGACAGAAGAATGAGTTTCTTGTATATATCACTTTGCCAACAATTCTGTTTTTCCTCAAACATTATGCAGTCGATATCGAATGTCACTGGAATTGCCCCTTGGAGAGCAGGATAATGTGTACAACTTGATTTATTCTTATACATTTTGGTTGGATGTCTCCCTGAAATTATGTTTTTATGCATTAAGATTTGAGGTGAAAATAGCTGGATATTGAGTCCTTCACAAGTGGGTCAAATGCAAAATAACAAAATCACAAACGTCTCATAAAACCCAATAGGGAAGCGTTTGGCTGCCTGAATATTTCCAACATATAGTGTTACAAAGTCCATTAGGTTTCCTTTTTTACATGCAGATAGGCAGACTATAAAAACCACTGCTATACAGTATTCACAAATCATAAGCCATGGAAAGAAAATCCTTTTACCCCCTAAAGATGGAGGCAAATTCTGATCAAAACAAAATCTTGAATTTGAGCTATATGTATGTTCGACCATTGATATTGATATCAAAATACACCTAAAAATCACACACACACAGGTTTGGGACTGCCTGACAATCGACAGATGTCAGAGACAACCCTGACAATGCAGCTCACTGCCGATCCAGTCATGTGATCACTCTGCATGAGGATATTCAGTTTCAGATTTTTCCCTATAGGAATGCATTGATTCAGTGCTTTCATATGGTGAGGTCTAATGTGCATGCAAAGTTTGCCACGCATGTGCATTAGAGTCCTTGCGTCGCGGGAAAGAGGAGGAGTGACATAGGCGCTGGGATCAGGTAAGTAATTAAAGAGTATTTACCCTTTATTTATTGGGGGGTGTGAGGAAGGAGGGGGGCAGGGGGAGTGATAGTGCCAGCAATAAAGACTTGTTTTCCTGGCATATAGCATTCCTTTAATGGGCTAAAAGTGACACTCCAGACCCCAGCTTGCAAAATTGCTTTACATGTGAAGTTTTTTTTTTTTTTCTTCAATAGAATTGGCACTTTTATAAATTAACCTTGTTACATCACCCAGCAGTCAGACAACCATTTCTGTTAATTCCTCATTTCTAGGCTCAGTTAAAGGGATACTCCAGGTAGCCAGACAACTTCTGCCCATTGGAGTGGTCTGGGTGCCAACTCCCACTACCCTTAACCCTGCAAGTGTAATTATTGCAGTTTTCATAAACTGCAATATTTACCTTGCAGGGTTAAGTCCTCCTCTAGTGGCGGTCTATCAGACAGCCACTAGAGGGACTTCCGTGTTCTTAGAACACAAAAAAAGTGTTTTAAGCAACGCTGGACGTCCTCACGCTATGTGAGGACCTCCAGCGTCTCCGAAATCCCCATAGGAAAGCATTGAATAATGCTTTCCTATGGGGAGGTCTAATGTGCGTGTGCGGCCACTGCCGCACATGCGTATTAGGTCTCACCCGCCTGCTGACGTCGGCAGTGGAGGAGAGTAGGCCCCTCAGCGCTGGACTCCGGTAAGTCACTGAAGGGTATTTAACCCCTTCAGCAACTTGGGAAGGGGGGTGGGAGGGAGAGGGGCACTACAGGGTCCTGCAGTGCAAGGAAAATGAATACGTCTTCTTGGCACTTGAGAATCCCAGCTATTCATAGCACCAGCCTTCCAAAGACATCTCAGTAAAGGGATATTATCGGTACCCAGACCACTTCAGCTCGGTCTGGGTGCACTGTCCCTGTCAATTTAAGCCTGCAATGGTAGTTATTGAGAAACTGCAATAATTACACTGCAGGGTTAACTACAGACAGCCACTAGAGGCGCTTCCTGATTGTTAGGTGACTTTTTGTCGCTATGCATAAGGACATCCAGAATCAGCTAAAACCCTATAGAAAAGCATTGGTTCAATGATTTCCTATGGGGCTGTCCTAATGCCAACACGTTACTGCACATGCGCGTTGGGAGAGAAAAAGCAATAGCAATCCCTGACTGAGGGACATTATCTGTGGATTCAGGTAAGAGACAGAAGAGTTTTTAACCCTTTGTGTGCTGCAGGGAGGGCACTATAGGCTAGGAATACAATTATGTATTCCTAGCTTATAGTTTCCCTTTAATCTGCATTGTGAAGTTTGTGATTGAACAGCTAAAGAGCCCTCAGACAAGAGATCTGCACCTTTTCCAAGTTGTTTTTAGACGTGCCCCCAATAAAAAAAAATAAAAAAAAAATCCATAATTAAAAGTGTGTTTTCATTGAGGGTATATCTGCTAAACAGTGATTTAAAAATAAATATTTGGACAGTGTAGTGTCCCTTTAACTCCCAAACAGCAAAAATGAGTGAGACAACAAATGCATTTTCTATACACCAAAACTACAGATTGTCTTGGTGCTTAGAGTGTCCCTTTATTATACATGTATAATATAGAGGATTTTTCAAGAAAGTGAGACATCAAAATTCCAAAGAAAATTGAATTGAATTTAAAATTTGGGGCCACAGCTAACATGGAATTTGTATTTTTTCTAGTTTAATTAATTTGGTTTTAGATTTGAAATTCATTTTGAATTCCCCATAATTCTAATTTTAGTGACTAGCGCTGCAGGTGTTTGCAGTTGTCCCCCATGCTGTTCCCACCTTTAAATCATTAAATAGCCCTACATAGTATGACCTGTGAAAACACATAATATTGTAACTCAGTGCACAGCCATTCCAAATTACACTGCAGGACACTGTGAGCAGGCATGCAGCTTGGAGAGAATGCAGATAAACATGACCCTAGTAACAGTAGAAAATGTTCTTTTACGCAGAACTGTTCAAATACACCCTGTATCAGATAACACAAGGAACTTACCAACATGGCTAAGAAGGAAACATGTTATAATATTGCTACAAACACTCACTGTTGATATGGTTCCTGGAACAGCTTTGTGGGTGGGTGGTGGTGGGAGGGAAATGGTTTTGTTGGCAAGAGCTTTTGCACTCGTTCTGTGACACATTAAGGCTTCTGTTGGAGAATATAGACAAATGTTTTTATACTTCCTGCTTTCTGCTGGAATGTCCAACAGTTGTGACTGGTGCAGGAAATCAGTATTTAAAAAAAAAAAGAGTGGCTGAAAGTATACGATACTGATGGGGTTTATTCACTAAACAGTGAATTGTTCTAATCTAAAATCATTTTTTTAAAACTAAAAATCGCCAAGTGATGTGACTATTGGTAAATTTAGAGAAGTTTTACAAATCCTTTTTTGGCCTACATTTTTCAATTCAGGTTTCAATCACTATAACCTCATGTTTTGTAAATAAACTCAAACATTGTACTTGTAAGTTTAAACTGGAAATTGTTAAAAAGGTATATATTTGTTAAAGAAACACTCCAAGCATCTTAACCAGCTTCCGTTGCAGGGATAGCTCATAGGCTGAGAATATCAGCTAATCACTCTAAGCCAATCAGCTAAGTTCTACTTTTCAGGGCTTAGCTCAGGCAGAGAGCTTCTAAGTCTCTGGCTGAAGTAGTTGAGGTGGATAAACCCCAAGATAGTCATCAAGCCAATGAAAAAATGGTTTGACTATTTATATCCCGATACTGTTGTAGTTGTTATGGTACTTGGAGTGTCCCTTTAAATTATTTGCCATTTTATAAAAGGTACTTGGTCATCCTAAAACATACAGTTGATACAGTCCGCTTTAGGCAGGCAACCTAGCTGCTGCTCACTGTAATTAAAAATTGTCAGTGTCTAATGAAATACATGTGCCCCCACCTGTAGGCATTAAGGTTCAATTTAATGTAATGAGGAGTGGATAGGTCACTTTTAAGAAGGAATGACCCTGAATGTAAATATGGCCCTGGTGATGGAGAGAGAGTATTTTGTTATCTTATAATCACTTGGTAGTCAGAGTTGTTGGGTGTAATTTTGCGTTATAATTTACCAGTTTTCAAAGTAACAGATGGAGTGATAAAATGAAGCATTCTTGATTTTATGAGCCATATCCTTTAACTGTACCGCAAACTGAAGTGAACAACTGGCTGTTTACTTACTCTTTTGATGTACTGCACAGTAGTCATAATTTAGTAGTGAATTGTGTGCTATGCCAGTCCCCAGTAGAAAGACAGGCCTTGTATATAATATGTGAATAGATGTAGATGCTCCATTGCATTAACTGATTCTTCAACCAACAACCGCTACCCAGCACTAGACTCCAGCGACAGGCAACCTTTGGCATTCCAGATGCTGTAGACTACATCTACCATAATGCTTTTACAGCCAAAATACTTGCAGAACATCAGGGAATATATAGTCTACAACATCTGGAGTGCGGAAGGTTGTCTACCCCTGCTCTAGTTGTTGTTAATCCTAGATTTGAGCATAGCTTGGTACTGTTGGAGTTTTCACAAAAAAATGAATATTGTTAGTTATTTGCCCTAATTCCTAAACGAAAAGAAAACCGTAAACACAGAAAAAAAAAAGTAATCATGCTCTCCCCATATATAAGCTCACTAGTATCATATAGATTGTTACATGCTGTTTTGACTTATTGAATCTGATATATTGCCTAGGAAAGTCGTTTTCATCTAGTCCTTTTTAAAATAGGGCAATTAGCTTAGAAAAGTCCGACCCACCATTATTATTAAACTACAAGTCCTAAACTAGCATCTTCATCTGTTCAAGTAGTAGATAACATTTTTTATTGAATGCCATAATGATTATTATTTTCAAAATCTTCATTTGCTCAAAGGGACATGCATCAATTGACTATTGTTTTTTTGTTTGTTTGTTTTTTTAAACCAACAAGCAAACACCTTTAAATAAATGTACAAACCAAAATAAAGAGAGAAACATTTAAAAGCATGTAATAAACATTTATAAACTCACTTTAAACTTAGTCAGATTGCATTATTGGGCACGCCTCTAAATCTCCTATGTTGCTTTGTGAAAGCATCATTAGTCCAAATGAATTGCAAATTTTTTTATCTATTATATAGAATACAAACAAAAACCAAGAAATCAGAATTATTAGGACAAGGCTGGGCAGTGATTGCACAATTAAAACAAATGGAAGAATTTAGTAAATATTAAACTAATAAAGTTAAGTAATATATCAGCATAACTACTGCTTAAATTTAAAATTGTTGAGGGAAATAAAATGACTGCAAAACATATTTTATTCCAGAAGTTGGTATAAATTGACATGTTTGTGAATGTAATGAAAATCCCATTAATATCAAGCTTTAGCATAATGGATAAAATAAAATAATGGTTTGCAAAATTAAAATATGTTAGTCATAGGCTAGAATGAGCTATTATAATGTCACAATTAAGTGGATTATGTAGCTTGATATATTATCTGTCTAATCTAATAAAATGAATCGTAGCTACTTGAATTATGCTCATAATCCAATAATCCTACATAAATTTTCCTTTGCATGTGAATTTTGTCACTTTATTGAAAAATATTACTTTGCTCCCTTAGGGTGACAATATCAAAGATGTGCTAGTTCACTGCATTTCAGTCTACATAGAAGTGAGCAGAAGAGTTCCAGATAGACCATGTGCTTATGGCAGGTTTATATCAGAACAGGGAATGGAAGGTAAAAAAGGTTAGTTGTGCAAATGTTTTTTTTTTTTTTTTCATATATTTAGCCTTCACATATGGGGTTATTCGCAAAAGATAAAATTCTCAATGAATTCAAAGTCAATTTTACATTTAAAGGGACACTACAGTCAGCAAGTAAACTTTAAGCAGTTTTGGATTATAGATTATGCCTCTGAAGTCTCATTGCTCAATTATCTGCCATTTAGTAGTTAAATTCTCTTTTTGCAGCCCTATGCATACCTGTCCTGACTGTGACTAACAACAGCATAAAAAATGGTTTAATTTTCAATCAGATGTTAGCTTATTATAGAGGTTTTTACTCTTGATCTGCAAATGTACCCTTACTCCCTTACCACATTAAAAATGTGAGTTGAGTTCCCATTCGTCTTGATCCAGGTGCAGCATCATGAGATCTGTGCATTTCACCACTGTACACTACACTCATGTTGGAAGTGGCATTTAAAAAGGCATCTTTTATGGTACAATGCCATATCCAGGTGATACCTAGGCAGAGCTAACTACGTGTGCATTCGATGACATTGTTAGAATATTAATTTAATATTATTATTATTAATCCAATAAAAAAAAAATGGATTTTAGAGTCTCTTATTATGTGTTTCCTTAATGACCTTATGCTGGGGCTATATAATTGCATTGTCTTGCTTTTAGTGTGCTCGATTATGAAATCCCTGTTATTTTATTTGTCAGATTGTGATTTGTTCTTAATTCTTTCTCTGAACTGTATACATCCACAACTAGGCATGGACTCAGCCAGTAGTAAGGAAAGAATGTTTGCTCAGATCTGATAGATGTACTGCAATAGAATTCTTTGTATCAAACCTTGTCTTCATCTTTTCAGTGGTAACACTATTAAGCATTGCTAGTTTTTCTTACAAAAAAAAAACTAAACAAAAACATGAACCTGTATACACCATTTACTAACACAGAGTCTTAAACACTCACAGCCAAATAAACAGCCAAATAAGTCTGCTTTCAGATTACCTTTCATTCTAATGCTTTATTTCATTTAGACCAATAAGCAATTGTGGGCAACCAAAATCACTGCTTTGAAACCACAATGGTTGCAATCAATACTTCTCATCATTGCTCAGTTAACACATTGTATATAACATTTTCGCTTGCTTCAACAACAATTGTAACAGTATAGACCTTGCCATCCTTACAGTTCTCTGAAGAATCAGTGTGGTTTAATTTCTGTTATAACGTTACTACAAACAGAAGAACTCCCAAGGGCTATTATCATGGTGTTAGTACAAACAGATCTAAACTGCAAGTGTACTTTTGAGGCAAGTAAGTATTTCAGTTGAAACACTGCATAAGCCTTTCTATTAACTGATCTCAGTTGCTTGTTTTAATGGCCTCTCTTAAGAACTTTCAGTAACAAAGAATACCACTAAAGCATTGCACAAGGCACGATTAGCTATTCTTTTTCTTTGTGTTTTATAATGTTCTAGTGGTCTCTCTCCATTCTATATTTTAGATTCATTCTCAAGTATGCCTGGCAGGGCAGAATTTTAAAAGACCTTGCGGGCTAGTGTTTTATAACAGCAGAAAACCATAATGAAATGTTATGTATTATTTATATTCTTTATCCCGTCAACCTTTGTATTGCTATATTGAGAATAGCTCTGTCTTTGCACAAGTGGTTATTCGCATGGTTTATTCAGTGTAACTTCACCTGTACTGAAATATAGGCATAAACACTGGCATTTTCAATTTGACCCGACAACAATGACAACCGGAACAAAAATGGATGCAGCGTTCACTGAAAAAGAAACACCAAAAAGAGTTGAATCAGAGTTATGCAAACATAATGAGCACATGTAAGGTTACCTTACTGTCATTTTTTACTAGTCTTACCAATGATTATCTTAAAGCTAATTGCCAGAATAAAATAAAGCCTTATATGTAAACAGTGTTTTTAATAATGCCTGACTGTAAGTTATTTCTTAGGGTTTCAAAATTGTTAGCACAATGTATCATGCAACTGTTGGTGAAGAGATCAAAGAGATGTGGTAGGCAAATTGGCTGTTGAAACCCAGTTTTCCCAAGATCCCAGATTGCATTGACTTTGTGAGATGCATGGGCTGTCAAGAGGAGAATTCTTGGTCAAGTTGGGGTTGTTCAGCTGAATGGAGTCTTCATCTGTGTTATACCTTTTTTTCCCCCTCTTCTTCTATACCTTTTGCTCACTTTTTTCTACTTGTCATCTTCTCTCTCCCATTACTTCAGCTTAGTCTCAAAGTTTGTTAACTAAGTGTCAAGGTTACGTAGGGGAACCAAACACTCACAGTCCCTAATATACTTAAGAGATATATACCACGTATTACTGGGCCTTAGAATGGCCGGATTTAACATCATAGTCAGAGAGAAAGCCAAAGTCAAGAGTAGGAGAAAACA